TGTGGGTTTGAATTTCTGGGCATTTTTCGGGTAAGCCACAGCCAAGAAATCATCTCTTTAACCTTGATTTAGGCTGGGTTATGCTAATTTCTGTTTATTTCCCTAAATTTTTGGGTAGTCCGTGAGTTTCCTGCAGCTTGCCGCCGGCCTCTTCTTCTCCCTGCAGCTCCGGTTCTTGCTGGAAAATTCTGGTATGATGGCCACTTCTTTAAGCCCTAAATTAGCCATTTAATTGCTGCTTTGTGTGTGTCCGAATTGTGCCAGAAATGGGGAGGAATTCCAGTAGCATTTAGTAGCATTTTAAATGTGTTTTAAGCTTGATTAAGTGGAATTGAGCTTGAATTAGCTGCTGTGATGTTTTGTGTGAAAATTCCGTGTGTGTGAATTGTGATTTGCCAAAGTTATGCTCTCCCTGTGCTGCCGTGAGAAATGGGAAAATTTTGGTAGATTAAGTTATGTTTTTAAGCTTGGTTTAAGTGTAAATTAGCTTGAAATGGGTTGTGGTGATTTTGGAGAGAGAATCCCGTGAATTAGCTAGTGTTTTGGCCAATTTGTGAAAGTCGGAGTTACTGTTCACGTCGTGCACTGTTCACATGTACTGTTCACAGAACACTGTTCATACCCCGAGAGTCAACAATTAACGAGGATTTAAATGATTAGTTTGTGATATAAGAACGAATTTGGAGATATCTGATCATGTGGAGATTTATGGAAATAGCTTTGTGATTAGGAATGATCCTAATGATGATTTCAGTTTGAATTTGTGATAGTGGTATTAATTCTTGAAATATCTTGATTAGGTTCTTGATCATCCTGTCAGTTTAGTACGTGAATTGAGTGCTCAGTTTTGCGGAGTGAGGTAAGTAAAATTATGGTAACGCCCTTCGACTTTTTAAGCATGTTTTGATTTGTTTTGAAATGGTGGCGGGACTAAACCCGTTTTACACGAGCATGACGGATTTGAAGTGAAATGTTTTATGCTTTTCATTAAATTGAGCATGCCTACTTGAAATTTAAGTGATTGTCCTGATGATCTGAAAGTGATTGTGAATCGTGATTTTCCTGTTAATTTCTGCCTGTTTTGTCTCCGATGTGGTCATGTTATTCGTGACCCTGCTAGTGGGGGAGGTTAAACGCTAGCACATGTCGACATGTATTTCTGTAGAACCGGTTCGTTTCTGTTATCCTGCTAGTGGGAGTTAAACACTAGCAATTCCTGTTGCCTGCCAGTGGGAGTGTTAAACACTGGCTGTGACCTATGGAGGAGACGTCTATTTCGTTCCTGTACTGTATCCGTTTTTGATGATTTCACTTGTTGGCATGCTATAAGTTTAATTAAGGGCAATCCATATTTTACTTATTGAGTTTATCTTATAGTTTTTCCTTGTCCACCATTTCAGGAAGCAAAACCGAGGATGGGGAAACCACGGGAAGTGACGAGTTAGAAGGCTAGCCATTGTAATTGATATAGATTTTAGAAATAAAACGTGATCTTGTAAGTTAGAGTGTATTTGGGGGATTTTGATGATATCAGAGTAAATTTTAAAGTTGATCTTCGGATTTTGGTGATATTAGATTGTAAATTTGATAAGTTCTGAATCTTGTGCATTTGTGGG